CGAAGGAATAAGTGAAAATCTATGCATAAATATAAATAATGTGATAATTTTAAATCCGAGTCAGGGATTACTCGTAATCTGTCAAGTCTAGAGATTAAAACAGTGAGCATGATTCTAGGTTACACAATGAAGAAAGCGGGCTTGTAGATTTTGACACTCATTTGACATAAAGAAGGTAAATGGGACAGAAGAAAGCAGTGAATAGCATAACTAACGAGGTAGTCTAAATGCTTGAAAGAACTGGGATTAGGAGAGATCAGTCAGTTATGTGCCATGCATGACACACGTTTAGGTGATACATAACTGACAAGGCAGAATTTTACGCAGTCGGTTACCATTTCTTTCTGCGGTAGATCAGTTACCATCCATGGCTATTGAACCCGGTAGCTGGGGGAGGGAGAAGAAGAGAATTCATATCTTTCCCAACTGGAATTTGAACTCGGCTCCGCAATCCGAGCCACTATCCATTACTCCACCATGTTTTCACGGTGGAGTAATGATTAATGGAGAGATAGCAATATGAAAAAATTTACTAAGATCTATAAAGGAAATAAAATTGTGGAGAGCCATGATCGCTATCAAAGAAGAAAAAGGTTCATTAATTCATACATTGATTTATCTGAATGAGTCTGGATATAAGCAGTGAGGCGAGCGAGAGAGATTAAAAGAAAAGAAAAAAAGAAAGAGAATGAGTAAATGAGATAGAAAGAAAAAGAGAACGTATATGTTTGTGAAGAGAGCGAGTATGGGTGTCTATGGGAGAAGGCAGTCTTTTGTGCTAGAAAGAAAAGGGGGGCAGTATGTGTGGGTGGGGTTAGAGAGAGAGAAAGATGAAAAGATTATTCTTGCGTTGATGTCAATCAGAATGAAATGGACAGAGAAAAGTATTCTGTATTTTTTTGTGTATGTGTGTGTGTAAAAGTACTAATTACTAAATGCGGCAATACATATTAAACTTTTTATTAGCCCACATAAGGTTATTGAAATTAAATCAAGTTTACAATAAGAATAATTTATTTCAATTGATCGTATGCAAAAAATGGAGTGACAGACGCACAAACACACACACCAATATATATATATATATATATATATATATATATATATATATATATATATATATACGATATTTATTTTTGTCTCTATTTCTCATTTTATTTCTTATGGTTAGAATTTATTGTGAGAACCAAGAAATATACCACCACCAGTGGTTTTTTATCTATCTATCTATCTATCTATCTATCTATCTATCTATCTATCTATCTATCTGTCACTCATAATTCATTATCTATAGATAGATAGATAGATAGATAGATAGATACTATCCATTATACCCAACTCGGCTAGATATGCCGTTGACCCAACTACATGTTTTATTTTAAACCGTGCAATGTGTCTAGTCACTCAAATCACTTGAAAAATCAGTTCAGGGAACTATCTGACCTAGCTCCATTATTACTGGGTTACATGTTACAACTAGCGATCACAGAGGCGACCTCTCTCTCTCTCTATCTCTATCTGTCCGTATCTCTTATACACACACACACACACACACACACATATATATATATATATATATATATATATATATATATATATATATATTTACGCAGCATATCTTGATTCAAACATGTTTCATTGAATAATATAGATATATTATGCCTGTTTATTTTCACACTGATCCTTTTACAATTCTTTAATCAGTTTCTGGAGGCGCTGTAGCTTTTTCCTGCCCAAGTACTTTCGACCTCCTCCAAGATCATTCTCAGGGGTGAATTACAACGACAAGCGTTCTGTAACTGTGATAAAATCTGCACTTCGTTGTGATGGTGATGAAAAACATCATACGTCAACGCGCTCTGTTATCGTTATTTTAAGATGTTAAATTTATTCGTTATACTTATGGAATTCTTTGCAAAACAAGCGTTCCAATTTACATGCTACCAATTTCAATCAGCTCCCTTATACTGGGACGCTTGCTTTGCTAAAATTCCATAGCTACAACGGATAAATTTAACACTTGAAAATAATTATAACAGAGCACGTTCACAATATATATATATATATATATATATATATATATATATAGATAGATAGATAGATAGATAGATAGATAGATAGATAAACCTAGTGAGCCAGACAAATACCCAGGTTTCACCTAAGCGGATAGCGGATCGTCAGGAACTTTCCCTGACGATCCGTTTAGGTGAAACCTAGGTAGGTTAGTCTGGCTCACTAGGTGTATCTAGGTCTGCTCTACGGTTGTATTGAGCTCTTTTGTTAGTTAGTTGTTTACTCGTATCGGTTTTTTTTCTTTGGGCTTCAAACCTGTACCTGCGAGATTTTTTTCGACAGACTTTCATGTTTCTAGCTCTTTCTTTTTTTAAAACCTAGTTTTCCCTCGAGATTAATTTGATTATTGGCAAATCAAAAATTCGAAGGTTTTTCGAAACGAGTATAGTTACCTATATTTGTATATATATATATATATATATATATATATATATATATATATATATATAAACGTATTATATTAGGCAGCATATATATTTTTAACGCTAAAGTTCAAATATTTCAAGTGAGAATTTTTTCTCACTTGAAATATTTGAACTTTAACGTTACGACTTGCACATTCCAATATTATATAACCGTTAATAAATAACACATTTTTTAAAAAAAAAATCTTTCTGTCTACAACACATTTTTTTCGTCTTCGAGTTTTGATTTTAAAGGAAAAAATTATAGCCTGATGATGAGGACATGAAGTTCTTGAAAATACTTGCTGCACTAAAAAATACACCAGACCCATCTGACAACAATTTTATACATAAGGATCGCATCATTCAGTGCATTGTTAGTAGGTTAATGCTTATATTAAGTCTGTTAGCGAAGAGATTTCGCCATTAATTGCATTCATATTGCTAGTTGTATGATTATCACTTTACAATATATATATATATATATATATATATATATATATATATATATATATATATAAGGATTATGCAAAAATTTCGACTAGAACAGCAAATTAAAATAGGTCATTTGGTTGGGAAACACCTGTAGCCGAAGACTTTTGCTCACCTACACACTCTAGAACGCTCGCGCACACACATGCACACACAAAGTATATGCGCACACGCAGACGCACATATATATGTACTGAAAAATATATAAATATGTATGAGCACATATGCATATATGTATGTAATTTCATTTAAATGGCACCTAGATATGTTGCAATATTGATTCGTGAAGGTCAAGCCATTAAAACAGAGACACCATTGTGTGAGATCATCGTTAGCGAAAGTAGATAGTTTGACCATTAGTAGTGGGTTCGATCCTGATAGGGTGAACCATACAAGCATTACCACATTAAATAAATTAAACAAAGTTTGACATATTGTAAATTCAGCCAATCATGAGAGGAATAGAATGTCCTCCGGGCAGCAATAATTCTGGAAGATGTTTTATTCTGCCTATTGTTACAATTGCTAAGAAAGAAAAAAAAACAATGACGAAATAGAATAACCGTAAGACGTCGACGACCTGTGACCGTTTCAAAAACAGGGAAAGAATGGTCACACAATTTGGAATGAAAGGACGAATCCGTCGAAGTGGTGTCAGGGAACAAAGCATCTGAAAGGGGCTGCAAATGTGTCAAATAATCTACTCTCTCATGGTCACTAGAGAAAGTTAAAGGAGTGGGAATTTATTTTATTTTATTTTATTTGTTATATATTCAGCCCAGAAAAGTGTTTCTTCTTCTTCTTCTTCTTCTTCTTCTTCTTCTTCTTCTTTCTTCTTCTTTCTTCTTTTGCTTCTTCTTCTTCTTCTTTCTTCTTCTTCTTCTTTCTTCTTTTTCTTCTTCTTCTTTTTCTTCTTCTTCTTTCTTCTTTTTTTTCTTCTTTTTTCCTTCTTCTTTTTCTTCTTCTTCTTCTTCTCTTTTCTTCTTCTTCTTTCTTCTTCTTCTTTCTTCTTTTCTTCTTCTTCTTTTCTTCTTCTTCTTTCTTCTTCTTCTTCTTCTTCTTCTTCTTCTTCTTCTTTTTCTTTTTTTCTTTTCCCCTTCTTTTCTTCTTCTTCTTTTTCTTCTTCTTTTTCTTCTTCTTCTTCTTCTTCTTCTTCTTCTTCTTTCTTCTTTTTCTTCTTCTTCTTCTTTTTCTTCTTCTTCTTATCCGTCTTCTTTTTCTTCTTCTTCTTCTTCTTCTTCTTCTTCTTTTTACTACTTCCTCTTTCTTCTTTTTACATCTTTTTATTTTTTTCTTCTGATGTTTCTTTTTTTTTCTTCTGCTTTTTTCTTTTTACATCTTTTTCTTTTTCTTCTGATGTTTCTCTTCTCTTTTTTCTTTTGCTTACTTCTTGTTAGTCTCTTTTACTTTCTGATGTTTTCAACTTTTCGAATTTCTTATTTTCCTTTTCTTTTCTTTTCTTTTCTTTTTCTTTTCTTTTTTTCTTTTTCTTTTCTTTTTCTTTAAACCAGGTTATTTTGCTCCTGTTATGTTTTCATCCTTTTTTTATTTTCCCTACTGTATCTTCTAGGACTTCTTCTTAACCATATGCACTTGGTCCACCGCCATGCTACTTTCTTTCTTTCTTCCTTTTTTACTTTCTTTGATTCAATCAAACTCCATAACTTCTGTGACATCTAACTCCATTTTATTCTTAATCAGTTTCATTAATTTCTTCATTTTCCATCTACGTGCCGCATCCCTGTAGATTGATTGATTCATTTTTTTTCTACGACTTATCAACCATTTGCAGATTATTTAAATCCCCTCCCCCCAAAAAACATTTTAGATTTTTTTAGAAATAATAATGATTTATTGATACAATTCCTACGATTTAACCCATAGTTGGGGTTGGGTGAAGAATTGGTCTCATACCTTTGCCACGGGTAGATGTGCGTAGATAACGATCCCGACTAGAATTAGAACTCCGCTCTCTTATCTCCAATACCGAGCACTTATCCATTACACCACCCGCAAATCTAAGATTATAGGACCTGTTATTCACCCATTGTCGCCCACCTAGGTACTGACCAGGTTCAGCGTATCTTAACTTCTGTGATCGTACGAGAATCGGTGTTTTAACGTGATATGGCCGTAGGCCAAGTGCATTCAGGACGTGGGCGATCATGCTTCTGCACAACTTCTTATCCTTTGTAAGCTCTAACGTAAGTGCTGCCTTAAATTTTGTGGCTCCTTAGCGAGCCATGTATATGTATATATGAAGACCGGATGAAAAAAAAACTAAGCATCTTGATTTATCAAATATGGCACATTTCTTCTCAGATCAGTCAGTTATGTGCCATGCGGGATACACGCTTAGGCGATCATTTATCTTTCAATACATGACTCACGAGACAGATTTTTCCCGCAATAGATTGCCATTTCTTTCTGCGGTAGACCAGTGGCCATCCAAATCTACAGAACTCAGTCCTGCTATTTACCCATAGCATAGATGATTCGTACCGTTCCCAAGAGTATTAGCAAGTAAGTGAATGTAATGAATTCGACTGAAATTTGAACTCGTCCCTCCGCTTCCCCAATCGGAGCCGCTATCCATTACTCCACCGTGCCTCCTACTTCTCATATAGAAATATTTAAATATATCCTGTTATGTAGATTCAATATCTGCTGAATTTTCTCTTACTTTTAATTTCTATTTCAAACAATGGATTTAGGAGATCTTTTTATAATACGTAATACAAGGTCATTGCAAGTTAGAGGACTACAGAATAGGGTTGTAGTAATGGCATAAATTTAGGAAGTAAAAATTGTATATTATATGGGCATTGATAGAGGATATCTAACTGTTGGCGGTCGATTTGAAAAGGTTTAAATCGTAGTTTCTCCGGTAAGCATAATCTCAGGAATCTATTTCATTAAGTTACAGTTCTGGGAAAGGAGTTGTCTGGGTAGAACTTCCTTCTTATCAATGGGATACCAAGGGAATGTAATGGGTCAGCCCTAAGTACCTGGCACGGCGGTTTTAGCTGTGAAAGTCAGTACTCAGGAACTAAGGAATATATCTGTATACTTATTACAAAGTTTCGGCCGTTGTACGCTCCGGCCTTCTTCAGGTGGTTGGAATGTCGAACTGAATTTCGCTCACTGGGGTAGACAGTTCTAGTTCCTGAAGAAGGCCGGAACGTACAACGGCCGAAACGTTGTAATAATTATGGGGACAAAGATGAGGACAATAGTCCGAATAATGTAAATAGTGCACATAATACCTCATCTCAGAAATATAGACAGTCTACCATTCCTATTTGTCTGTCTTTCTTTTTATGTACCTTCAGGTTGTGGGCGGTCCCTATTCTGTCATCCATTTATATAAACTCCTCTGTCCGTCATATCTTCAATATGCGTTGTGAATGTAATGTTCTCTCATGCCATTTTTTCTCGTTATGCATCCTAGAAATTTGAACTATCACTGTGTAATTCTAGGCATCAGTTTCTTTTTATGCGCCTTGTCCTTTCGGGACGTAGGCGATTATGGCTCTCCACCTCCTTCTTTAATTTGCAGCTCTCAACGAGTTCCTTCTATTTGTTACCTCCCCCAGACCACGTCCTGTCATCCACTTGCTTAAGACCGCCCGTTATGTCACGCATTGTTTTCAATTGTCTCTCTTTCCCTCTATTCGACTCATGAGTATCAGATTCTCCAGGCCCTCCTTCCTCATTATGTGTTCCGGAAAAGTCAGTTGCCTCTTCCTGATGTTAAGTATAAGCCTTCTCCTTGTTTGCATCCTCTCTAAGACCCCATCGTTGCTAACACGCTCGGCCCATGATATCCTTAGCATCCTTCTGTAGATCCATGTCTCTGTCGACTCGAGTCTCTTCTTTATCCATTCATATGTTATTCATTGTTTCCCCATACTTCGATTTCTTTAAATATATCATGTAAGTGTTAGATTCTCCTTATTTTAAGAAAACTATTTACTAATTAAGGTTTTAATCCTTACTAAATTCCTTTTATTCTTTTATAAAGTTTTCCTGAGGCTGAGTTGTCTTGGTCTCGACTTATCCTGCCATTTAAATGGCTGTGTTCAGTTGGTGGGGTTGAGTTGTCCTGCACCCTTGTGGGCGTCTTTCAATGGCGGCCTAATTCATTAAGAACCGACATCTTGATTTTGGAACAACTATTCAATGTTTTCTTACTGTCAAAACATCTAAACATTTCATAGCTTGACAAAGACAGATGTTTACCTAAGAATGCACAATAACATGTGGCCCCAGGGGACCCAGATTTCGGCTGTCATTAGATCGAGAAAAATATATATATATATATAAAAATTCATATGATTTCATTTTATTTTTATTTTTTTATTTTTTTTTAATTTTAGCAATAATTGATTTCAGTTTCATCTCTAATTTAATTATATACATGTTTTGAAAATATAAAACATTCATTATTTGCTAAAGCAAAGGTAGGAAGCTGATGACGTTCTTTTCATTTTTGTTTTGTATTTTGCCTTTTTTTTTTTTACCAATCATTATTTTATATATCTTCTAGAAAAACATTTTAGGCAATTATTATTATAAGATGGTTGTGAGTGCTTATAACGACTTATCGATATAATTGGATGGGCACCTCGAGGCGGTGTAATGGTTAGCAAGCTTGTCTCGCTAGAACAATTGCAACTGAGTAGTGAGTTCAATCCTCACTGGGTGCCCCTTACTTTCGACCTTGTGCCACATCCGAGCTACACTTGGTTAAAAAGGGCACCTCGACGTGGTGTAATGGTTAGAAAGCCTGTCTTGCTAGATCAATTACGACTGAGTATATTTCTCACTGGGTGCCCCATACTTTCGGCCCTGTGCCACATCTAATCCTGGTTTAGAAAATCACTATAGATATAATTGGGTATAAATATGACTATAAAGGAAATGTTGTTTTGAGAACTGCTGGTTCCATCTAAAAAGCTTTTCAAAATAGATAAGTCTTCATCAATATTTGTGAATATTTATTTAGATAAGAATTTCAAGATGTTCTCTTGGTGTAATTAATTTCAAGATGTGTTCAAGATGTGTTTCTTGGTGTAATTGAAATAATCCATGAAAGAAATAAGGGAATGCTCTAATTTTCATTTTTTTAAAATTTTGTATGCGTACGTCCTTGGGGGACTGCTATTTGCCATTTTTGTCTTCTCTCATAAGCGGGACAGCGATCGGCAAGTAAAAGTCTTCTATTTACCCTTATCAAAATCTGTATCGGAATCTCTCAGGATCTTCAACACACGGCATTAGAGTTTGGTGATGACTATTGATCATTTCTTCATTTTCCACTGTTAAACTTTTTACAAGCACTGAAGTATTTAAATATTTCTGTTTATATTTCAAATCGAACTTACAAACTATTGCAAATTTCAGACATGGCACAATTTTCAAGATATGGCACAATACATCTGCGAGAGAAAAACACGAATCGACGACTGGAATAAGAAAAACCAAGGAATATAGAATTAAACGAAAATAAATACTAGTCAAAATTAAGAATAATATTTCCTGAATATTTTGCTTATTCCAAATCCTAGTATTACTCAGGGTCGTGTACATAGATTAATGGTTATTGGCAGTGCCGATGCAAAGTTCTCGTTGCCCACTCTCGAATCTATCGTACGCCCCATCCATTCAACTACATCTCAATTTTCATAGGGTAGTATTCATATAAGATAGGAATTGTGTAGTCACGTAATTATATACACTAATGTATCATATTCAATATAATTGAAGAATTTAACTAGAAAAATTGAATACAAATTAGAGGCATGTCTTAAATAATTCCATCTTAAATAAATCAATTTTTGCGGCAATTTTTAACATCAGCTTGAGATTTTTCTTATTAAAGTTGAATAGATTTTACGCATTCAACATTATGAATAAAAATAGGGAATTTTATATTCAGTTGTGTTTTGTTTTTTATTCGAGACTTAGACTGAGCAAAACAAATTCTCGGATCTTAACGCAAAAAATAATCAGTTGTGTTTAGTTTAGTTTGTAACGGATATAAATATAGGTAGAAATAAACAAGTAAAGTAAAAGTTGCTAAGGTAGTAAGGGTCACTAAGTAATGCCCGCGGTCCCTAATCAGGAGTTCAGAGGCAGTACGCACCGGCCTTGGTTATTGGTGGGGGAAGGCATAGATCGATTACTTTTCCCTAACCTCTCCCCCACCCCCACTCTCTCTCCCTCTTTCTTTCCCTCCCTCTTTCTCTCCCTCTCACTCACTCTCTCTCTCTCTCTTCTATATATATATATATATATATATATAGAGAATTATTCACACAAAACTAATGCAAATGTTAATGATTTTAAATGGCGAGATATTTTTACACAAGCTTTCGTCTGTTCCTACAGACATCTTCAGGTATATAATAGATGTTGTTCTTGTTTTTTTCTCTTAGTAATAAGAGGACATCGAAAATATATGTGTATTGTATCCGAAATGTTATTGAAAATGAGATATTGGTTTTTGAACGCGCCAAAGCAACGCTAAGTTTGATTTTGAATTTTTTCTTTTTTTAAAATGTTTGCGTTTATACCAAAATAACAACTAATACGGCAGAAATTTATATGAACAAGGATCAATTCATTCATAACGGATCTGAGGTTTTTGTGTAATATTTGAATTGTTTGCGAGATGGATGTCTCGCCATTTAAAATCATTAACCTTTGCATTAGTTTTGTGTGAATAATTCATGTATTTGTAAATTGATTGCACGTTTATTGTTATATATATATATATATATATATATATATATATATATATGTGTGTGTGTGTGTGTATGTGTGTTTGTGTGTTTGCGTGTGTGTGTGAGTGTATATATGAAGAATTATACTCTTAAGGTTTGCTATCTTTATGGGATAAAGTGCTCAATATCAGAGATAGAGTGTGTGTAAATATAAAAGTGAACATATAAGTCAACACTTAGAGGCGACAGTCTGTTTTCATGCTATAGGCATCGTCAGGCCACGTGGCCTGACGATTGCGTCTAGCATGAAACAGCCTGTCGCCTCTAAGTGTTGACTTCAACGTTCACTATATATATATATATATATATATATATATATATATATATATATATATATATATATATATAT